TTTATGTCGTTTGGACATTTTCGACGTTTGGACATATATCGGCGCTACAGCATAACTAAACAAGAAAATATATCCCTTGTGATTATTAATTTATCACGCGCCACCGGGCCTCAGAAGATCACAAAACCCGAGTCTTTCGTCTGCTCAAACGAAACTAATTCGTGCTGATTATTTTCAAATTCAGTTACGGCTGCCCCAGTACAAACAACTTTTAATCATGTAACTTCGAGGTGCACAAACGTTCACAAAATATTAGTCAACATGTTGTGCTCATTTTCTTAGCTGTAACAGTAAAAAAATTGTACCCCCGGATAAGCTGAGAAACCCAATTTTTTTCTTCATTCCACCCGTAAACAGTTACACCGACAAACTTACGCTGACAATTTAGTGCACGCGGCGTCCAATATGGGTAATATACAGTAGAAGTTGTATGTAAGTCGATTTTCTGGATGACGATGTGTCGAAGAAACCCCTCACCCCAATACATTCCCTATTAAAAACCTATACATGAGTAGATTTTTTGACGTGTCGAAGTTTTTACGTGGTCCGTAAATGACTACAATTTAAAACTCAGTAACGTCCACACAGATAGCAAAAAAAAGTTTAGAGGTCAGAGACAAGGGGTAAAATAATAACTATAAATATGGCACACTGTCTTTTTTATTATCCACATGTATGCTTACTCTTTTATTTGTTTCGTACCTGAACATGCCAGCATTTTATATTCACTCTTATGTATTTCCTTATGATGTGCTATTTCATGGATGGCATGACCACTTCAAGGAATATATATAACGGGTCTCATACCCGACCTCCTTCCTGTGGTTTACAACATTTTAAGACAATAACGTTTAAAAAATAATAATTACCTCTAATTTAAAAATGCATATTGATATAATTCAGGTGAAATTATACGCTGTTTGTGGAAAAGAATAGTCACTTACCATTAACCGTTGACGGAAAATAACAGCCACAAATAATTTGATTTTTTTTCTTTCACATCACTATACTGTATATGTCAGCACACATTGAGAATTCTCTCTTCTATTCACATTTACAAGAAATAAATAACTTCAAAACTTTCCTCTAAACAAACATAAAGTCTAGACCACGTGCGAATATCTACGGAGGAGCATTAGTTTCAGGTGCATGCTTTTTATTAACTCGAAATTTCGACTTACTTATCTCGAAATCTCGAGTAACTAACTCGAAATTTCGACTTACTAACTCGAAATTTCGACTAACTTACCTCGAAATTTCGACTTACTAACTCGAAATTTCGACTTATTAACTCGAAATTTCGAGTTACTTATTTAGAAATTTCGACTTACTTACTCGAAATTTCGACTTATTAACATTACTAAAATGGCCATTTATGAGTTACAATGTGTTTAGATAAGGTGAGATACAGTAGGGAGTGCGGTTGAACGATGGAGATGTAGAAACGGGTGCCTGGACAAACTATTAAAGTTAAACTTAAACTTAGTAATGGCATGTACACGCCCGACCTAAAAAAACACAAGGCTTCCTTTAATTTGTCCGTTCAGGCGTTCTTCAGACGTTGTATTGTATCCTATCTGTTGACCATATCTTTTCACTAAACACATTCTTCTCATCCCTGAGAATAAAACGATCCTATACTTCACATGTGGGACATCTGAGGAAAGTATCGCGGAGTGGCCAAAATAGGGGTGCTGGGGCCTTTGTCAAATTTGTTGGACTGACTATATTTCTCGTAAAATCGGATGCTTTTATATTGTTCCCAACATGAATATAACAACAAGTTCCACTTTTATCAACTTTTATCAACACAATATGAATCAAAGTTTTAGTAAATAATGAATAATGTTACAAAAACATTATTAGTATCAAGAAACGTGACAGATTAACTGGCGTATACACGCCATTTAAAACTTATTTAACATATGAATGTTGCACAGTTTACAATAGGGTGGGTTATGGACTTGTATCTCCGTTTGATGGTTGTATGTCTGCTTTAGAAAAAGAAATATCCGGTTAACACGTAAATGTGGAAAGTGTGATTTACCCCCCCCCCCCCCCGCCACAAAAAAGCGATGGATCGATATGTTTAGTATGTGTGGACAATTTGACTTTATTGAATTGTTCTGTTAAATGTATATGTGCTCTGTCAATGTGCAACATCTACACACAAAAGAAAGTATCTTGAATTCAATCCTTGCTTTCACCGGTAACCAATGAAAGTCGTGCAATATAAGTCGAAACTTCGAGATAAGTAACTCGAAATTTCGACTTACTAACTCGAAATTTCGACTTATTAACTCGAAATTTCGAGATAAGTAACTCGAAATTTCGAGTTAGTAACTCGAAATTTCGAGTTAGTAACTCGAAATTTCAAATTAGTAAGTCAAAATTTCGAGATAAGTAACTCGAAATTTCGAGATAAGTAAGTCGAAATTTCGAGTTAGTAACTCGAAATTTCGAGATAATAAAAAACATACACCTGGCACTAATGCTCTTCCGTAAATATCCGTTAAATCTGCATGCTTTTCTTGCAATTTTATGACATAATTTGTCTGACCAAGTAATGCTGATATTTACATAAAACACGTGTCATTGACAGCCAGCAAATTTACCAATCAAAAGTCATGACACCAAAACAACAATAATCAGGCCAAAATTTCAATTTAGCGTTACAGACAAGGCGTTTGGCATCTTTCTCTTGTATTACATTAGGTCGTTAATGATAAGCCCAAATATGTTTTCACATCTATATGTTAATACAGTGTTGGCCTCGCATATGTGACTCGATCTTTATTAATACAAATGTATCTGTCTCATGTTTTTGTATTGTAAATATGCAAACTGAGATGTACTTAAAAATTTGAAACGTGAAATTTGCATATCTCAGTATAAATCATGTGTAAAGTTATGTCAGAAGAAATGTTGAAGTTTATGTTGAAAAGAAGCTCAAATCACCAGCTTTTTATTGGTGTTAGAATTTTAAAAATAAATCGCAAAGCAATAACAGTTTGATAACGACGTTATTTGTGTTGTTATATCATTTGCACGCAATCCAGGAAAGATAACTCTTGGTTTTTGTTCTATTTTCTATTACGTAGTTCATATACTGTTTATGGATGTATGTTTAACAGCATTTGTATGCGTTTCTGTGTGTGAGAAAATGCATTTTTGGTTATCATTCTATTTCATGGTCCAGAATAAAAATGTTAGCGGCTTATAAAGTTTTGGAAGCCAGAACTACCTTAATGCTAACATTTATATGTTGCATTACTTAGACGTTAAATAAAGTTTCTCTTCTACGTTATACATATAGATTTACTAATCTAACGTCCATAAATACCAATATATTAAACAAGTTAATTGGCAGTAAATGGCTGACACTTACATCTTCTCACAAGATCCGGTTGGGGTTCAAATCGTTTATATACTGTGAATAAGTTGTCAGGGGAAAGTCAGGGAATATTTGATTTCTGTAGGTGCATTTTCCTAAAAACGTCCTTTTTGTAAGCAATTTAAGTTTAGATTGGATAATACTGGTTAGAAATATTAAAAAGAAATGAATACAGTAGTGTTCATATGAAAATATTTATTACTTTTTTGTCTTATTTGACCAGTTTCTTGTCTTTCATTAATGTACAAGTCTATTTGTTTTCTACTGCATCTAACATTGCTTTTGCATGAAAGGTAATATAGTATTACACATACTTCACTAACATATAAACGTTCACTTCAAGAATTAGTTTGCTCTGTTACAAAGTATTTGCAAAATATTATTAGGGAGTTTATTAATATGCATAATATTGACAGCAATATCACTATTTAAAATGTGAACTCCATAACAATTTAAACAAAAACAAAAATCCACTTCACTTTATCATTGTCAGAGATTCCAGAAAACTATGACAGATAATTGATTTATACAATGTTTCCTTCGAGAACTAACAGATACATTCAATAGATGTTACAAATATTTAGATTTATTTTATGTGTTGTATATCCTTGTGCATTAATAAACAAATAAAATAAATGAGCCGCGTCACGACAAAACCAACATAATGGGTTTGCGACCAGCATGGATCCAGACCAGCCTGCGCATCCGCGCAGTCTGATCAGGATCCATGCACGCTGTTCGCTGACCAACTCTATTACAAGTAGAGAAACTGATAGCGAACAGCATGGATCCTGATCAGACTGCGCGGATGCGCAGGCTGGTCTGGATCCATGCTGGTCGCAAACCCATTATGTTGGTTTTGTCGTGACACGGCTCAAATTAAGATCAACCTGCTCATAAAGTATGGCAATGATAATTCCATTTAGCCACCGATAACCATCTAAAAAAATTTTTTAGAGAGAGATATTATTTTTGTCCTTGTAATTTATCAATTCGTATGTTTTTTTCCTCACGTAAACTTTAATAAAGAGTCATAACTGGCAATAATTCTCGATTTAAGCAGTTGGTAGACCACGATTTAACTAATCATCTAATTATTTTTTGTAGGATTCAAAGGCAACTAAATTTAAAGCATTTTGTTGTTTGATGGTTATTCTAGCTGTCTGATTTTTCATCCGTTGTCTTTCCTTCTAATATTTTTTGTTTCGGCTGTTCTTTTTTTAGCCCTGCTGACATACATCTCTGAAAAAATAAAAAATAAAAATCATTCACCAAAATAAAAACATTGAAAACAATTAAACGTGAAACAATTTAAATAGTGAGGTTTTCAAAAAAAAAAAGCCTTTATAATCTTTTTAAAAATTTTAAGCTTTAACTTCCTACTCAATCCATACAATTTATATCTTATATTTCATTACGAAATTGAAACATTTATAAATTAAAATATTGTGTAAACAAAGCTGCAAAACGCTATCAACATGCTTACGACTTACTTGTAGTCCAACACTCATAAAGAATGGTTTGCTGTCACCGTCATTCATCACTGAATCTTCACAGAAACATATAAAGATGGTGTCGATTGTCATCTGAAAAACAGTAAATGTTACGTAACGTTGTTATATATCTAGTAATTTCAAAGGACGTTACGTTAGGTCTGATTGAATCTCGGTAGCCAGTCTCTGAGATTTTATGATGAAATTTGAAAATTTGAAAGTTAAAAGATATATAAAAGAATCTACATGATATCTCTGTTAATTTAAACAAGAGGACCATAATGGCAATGGATCGCTCACGTTTGCACCTGAGATAGATGTCTTAATGATAAATATCTTAGATCCTGATATTGTAATTCAACACAAGAAGAATCTGTTTTTCCATGTAAGTCTATATATATAAACTAAGTTACCCCCGGACAGGAACCAATTTTGACCCTAGGTACATGGTTTATATGACTTTCGTAGAGGTGATGCTACAAACCAAATAACAAAGCACTGATCATTAAAGTTTCCGAGAAGACGATTAGAAAAGGCATTTCCAAAGTCTATATTTGCTCAGAATTATGACCTACATACGTATCATTGCTTTAACGTTTGTACAAGCTACATCAATCGATTTAGGAAGAGTTGTGGTTCAAAAAATTGTAGATAACGACGAACGGCTACCATCACAAAAGCTGTGCACAATGTGCACAGGCTAGTTAAAACTGCTTTACAAACATAATAGCAAAGGAACTCCGTGTATTTTTTCTAGGAAAAAAAATGTTTTTGTTTTTTTCTAGAATTGTTCTTACTAAAACATACCTCGTAAACAGACATGAAACACCCAGCTATAAAATATGCAAATATTGCAACCAAAGCTACTGGTAACCAAACAAAATGTATATCTTTCTGTACCTGAAAAATACAAGTATGATCTTATATAAACGAAATTTAATTATTTATTCTTATAACGTTACATCTTTTTAGTATGTATGTTATCTAGCAAAGTATTTTAATAGAGTTTATTGTACTTAAAACTTGACATTATCATGATATATAAAAGATTTTTGCAATACAATGCCCGTTAGAATAAAACACTTTTTTGTTACTATTTACATAAACTATGCAGTACAAAAGAAAAACGATTTAAAAAGGGAAATTAAGAAAAAAAGAATCAATGAAATTAAAACTTACTGAGATAAATTCAATACCAACAATAGTGATAACAGCGACGGTTGCAATTTTGCCAATAAACAATACAAAATCACCAACAGAATTGATGGCTGCAAGTCTTAATGTGTTTGTCAAGACAACATGAAATGCCTGACGTGCCGCCTTACAAAATCCATGTCCGTGTATAGCTGCAATTAAAATGGATAAAGTAAAAATGAAAGTTATTGTTGTATGAACATGTTTTTTTCCCTACCGATAAAATTAAATATTTCTTGAACTAAACAGAAAATGAAAATCTTGGAATTACCCAAAATCGAGGTTTTCCATATTAAAACATTGCCTCACACATAATTTTGAAGAACATTTGTTGTTTTCTGGCATTTTTTATTTTTTTAATTAACTGAATATTTGACATATCAACGGGGCGGGTAAAATCAGGTCAAAAGGATATTATTGTCTTGATGACATTTGCATTTTGGTCAATCTCACCTATCTCGATGTAAGCATTGTTGTTGAGAAATTTCAAGAATTTTTCGAAGCACCATAGACAACACTTTAAACATTTCAACAGAAATACTACAACGGGGTTAGTACCACCTCGAAGTCTGGAATACAAGAAAACACTTCAATAACAGAAAACGCATCAATAACAGAAAACACTTCAATAACAGAAAACACTTCAATAACAGAAAACACTTCAATAACAGAAAACACTTCAATAACAGAAAACGCATCAATAACAGAAAACACTTCAATAATAAAAACGCTTCAATAACAGGCGCCAAAGAAGTATGAGAACGGAGGCGAGTTTACAAAAGATTGAACCATTTATTTATTGCGGTAATTTATCAATTTATTAATCAATTGTGTGATTTAATGTTACATTACAGAAAAACTTTTTCGACAAGGCATTATGATCAATTTTCCGTTCACAGGAAAGTCCACCTGGAAAGTCTTATTAAAAAAAAAAACATGATTTACTGTAAATCTCAATTTTTTAAAATATTTTCGTTGATTAGGATACAATATTTGTTTTGTATTTATAAGTTCGATATCATTATTGGTTTTCATTTTTCCCCCGTCAATTATTATTAAAAGCATGCAATCGTAAATAAAATATCATTAGAAAATTGAAGTAAACTAATTTAATAAAACTAAATACATGTTCATATAGTTACTTCCAAGGCTCACCTGTTTTCTATAAAAGATAATACCATTCTTACAAACATAACGAAAGTTATTATAAGCGATCCTAGAGCTATGGAGCCAAAATGGTATCTGAAAAACAAATAATTTGAAGATTTACATTTTTAAATTTCAAATAATAAATTTGAATGTATGAGAGGTGACTCGCCAATTTTGTAAAATGTTTATCTTATTTATTAGCATTATATTTTAATTATTGCTATTTGTGAGATACACGGGTTGTTTACATTGTCCTATATCTTGTTGGTCATGACTGTAAATGACTGTAAATGACTGTAAATGACTGTAATGTATGAAATGCCTAGAACTATCAATTTAAAGAATAGAATGTTACCAAACACAATTAAACTACCTAATGCTGTAGACCTACTTAATGTATCAACATGGATTATTAAACAATTCAGGAGATCAAAACAAGTATTTAGGTAAATATTATATTTAATATGTTCATCTACCTTATAACATGCCACATGGATCGAGCAACTGGCAAAGAAAGTTTCTCTTTATCTCTGTAAGCAAACAGACAACAAGCATATCAATAATTACAGTATTAAATTAGTATTTAAGATATGAGCCGAGCCATAACAAAACCAACATAATGGGTTTGCGACCAGCATGGATCCAGACCAGCCTGCGCATCCGCGCAGTCTGATCAAGATCCATGCTGTTCGCTATCAGTTTTTCTACTTGTTATATGGTTTGTAAGCGAACAGCATGGATCCTGATCAGACTGCGCGGATGCGCAGGCTGGTCTGGATCCATACTGGTCGCAAACCCATTATGTTGGTTTTGTCAAATAAATAGATTCAAATACGAGTTGAACTCTCTGAAAAAATAAACAAAGGAAATGATAGATATATAAGTTATACGGATAAAAGTAATGTAACAATATGATGTACATCGAGCAAATGAATATTATTTGACCTGCTGAAACAAATCATATCAATTTAACGAATGCCATTTTGGATATTAACGGACAATTTCTAATGCCTTGACTTCTATTTTTTTTTTTCAACGATGGAACTTGTCATTAAGACAATGATAATACAATGGTGCTTACCTGGTGAAATACCATTTGACTACAGCTCCCGCCACAGTCATCTTGTGACACGCCAATATAACCTGAACTATCCAGATTATCCCGAATATATAATACCATTTTAATACCTGAAAAAAATGGAATATAGGAATATGCATGTACTGTAACTAAAAGAAGGAAATATTTGTTTGGTCAGAATATAAACAAAAAAAGGGGTTTTATGTAATTTCATAAGTTTTATGGATTTAAGTGAACACTTCGACTTTAAATCATCATAAATTTCTTGTATTGAACTAAAATGTATCGGTATTGTTATGTGTACAGTTTATTCAACGGAAGATATGCATTAAGATGAAAACAAAATCTAATAAAAGTCAATATATTGTTTCCTTTCATATTTGTACAAAATGAAGGAGATTGTTATTAAAAAAGAACAACATACTGTTAAGATTTTGTCCGGTACATATTCTACTGTCTTTGTGACTTGGTCAACTACCGGGGTACCTGCAGAAATACGGAAGTGATAAATTAAAATGCCGGAAGGAAAGTAACAATGACGGTAATTCAAAGTGTGACAACAGCTTTATTTAAAAAATATTATTTAAAATCGGAGAGACAAAATGGTGTTAATTTCATGACGGTAGTTTACATTTTAGGTATGTTTCTTTAAGGAAACAACAACAACAAGATTTTACATGGTTATATGTATATATGTTTATCAACATCATACCTGCTGTTTCAATATACAATAATACCCACACCAGACATCCAAATGTTCCTCCAAGACATATTAATGTCTGCAATGAAAGAAATGAATATTTTTTTCTTTAAAAGTAATTATTCCGATCCTACCTCTTCAAATGCGAGTACAATTTAATGAATGTATATTGTTATTCATAATATGGTGTGATATTTTCAATGTCACCAGTCTTCGCCTGATTTTGACTTATTTTTCCTTTTCATTTTATAAGATAGATACAGTAGCGAGATTTAACATTTTACGAGGATACTTTTGCGACATTTACGATTAAAGTTACACGGTCGACAAATTAACTGGTCCAAAAAGGGACACCATATACACCATATTCATTAAATAACAATGTATAAATTAAAACAATACTTATTTGCCATGTGTATATATGTATAAATTGTGTAAGAAGTAAATATAACTTTAATTTGAAATGCTATATTACTTATTAAAGTACTTAACATCTTATCCACAATGTTTAATCAGTAAATAATGAAATGAAATAAATACTTATAAAGTATATATATAGTACCATAAAAGGATGGATCAAAAGAAACGGCATACTTCTAATGGCTTTACCGGCTTGGCGAAATAATTCTTCTACCTAAAACATATAGTACAGAATATTACCTATAATCCACATGCTTACAGTTCAACCGGAAAAAACATATCCAAAAGTTACTAAAAGAAAAAACACGAATACTTTATTGCATGTATGGTGTCCCGTTAGGGCTAAAGACAGTACGGTGTTGACAGTATGATGGTGTCAATACGACAGTACGATGGTCGCGTACTGTCGCGCTATACTATCGTCCTTTCACCCTCTTGTCAAGCATGCGCAAATATTTCACTCAGCATATTGTCAGACGTCAAATATGTGCCTTTTAATCTATTCAGTTCATGTGATATATTTGAATGACAATGAAGAGATTATAATTATATCAGATGTGCATTCATGAATATATCGTTACCAACTTGTAACGTACATTTATTCATCATAAAACAATAAAAATAATATATTCAATATGGATAATAGTAACAAAATAAGCAAAGATTTGAACACCATACCAGTTTTAAATGTTTCCTTAAGGCCAGAATAATCAACAAAACAACAATCTGGAAATAAAAAAAAATAAATTGATATTTTACTTTTAGTACTTGGAACAATTGTTAAAGGGACTCCACTGAGGTTTTTTGACATGACGGGACTGGAAATAATTTTTTGAGATTAATACTCCATTTGATGTGGATCTATACTAATAACTTATGTGCAAATTTTCAGATCATTAGCTCGCACCGTTTTTTCCAGAGTAATTATTATAATAGTGAAAAATGACCCAAAACTGAAAAGCGTTTAAACGCTTTTCAATCAAATTGGACTTAGAATAGCACAATCATACGATTTTCAATGTATTTCTTGTATATTTCTTAGTTATATTGAATTTAAATTTCTGTTTAAAGTGCTCGTGTTTATCTATGTGAAAAATTAAAATGTTATGTTTTTAGACTTATAAACCTCACTGGAGTTCCTTTAAATTGTTAGATATGCAAATAATATTTTATGCGTTAGTGATTTACTTAATGATGTATTCATTATCGATAAACGCATTAAAAAAATTGTCATTTTACCCTTCTCAACAGTTCTATCTCATACTGTCCATAAAATTTTTAATACAAATGTACATTGATTTATAATTGGATACATTAAATTGAAATGATTATGTTAGGCAGTCACGTACCAATTAATGATCGGATAGTAAAAATAACTGATATGACTGTCACACCGAATAATCTTGACTGGCCGCTCACATACTCCTTAAGAAACGGATGATAGAAAATAACTCACTGTAAATACTGTCACACAAATTGATCCTATCAGCCAGTCACGTACTTTCTTTTTCATGTGAACGCTTGCGTCACCAGCCTGCATAGCGTCCAAACTTTTCCGTAAATAATAATAATGGTACCTGCAAAAATGCCATGTTTCGGTATCTTTGTTCTAATACAAAATGTAAGTCTAGTCTATAAACATCTATTTTTATCATAATAACATGTACGAGTAAATAACGAGAATAACGGAGATTTTGCATTATGAAACATACCATTAATTGCACGAAGTATGCTACGGAAGCGTCCTGGTGCCAATTCATAATGTTCTATAAAAAAAATTAACTCCTACGTAGGAGATAAAAAAGCCTAATTAGGAGTTTGTAACTCCTACATAGGACTTTTAAACTCCTACGTAGGACTTTGTAAGTCCTACGTAGGACTTTATAACTCCTACGTAGGACTTTTAAACTCCTACGTAGGACTTTGTAAGTCCTACGTAGGACTTTATAACTCCTACGTAGGACTTTATAAGTCCTACGTAGGACTTTGTAACTCCTACGTAGGACTTTATAACTCCTACGTAGGAGATAAAAAAGCCTAATTAGGAGTTTATAACTCCTACGTAGGACTTTTAAACTCCTACGTAGGACTTTATAACTCCTACGTAGGAGATAAAAAAGCCTAATTAGGACTTTAAAACTCCTACGTAGGACTTTATAACTCCTACGTAGGACTTTATAAGTCCTACGTAGGACTTTGTAACTCCTACGTAGGACTTTATAACTCCTACGTAGGAGATAAAAAAGCCTAATTAGGAGTTTATAACTCCTACGTAGGACTTTTAAACTCCTACGTAGGACTTTATAACTCCTACGTAGGAGATAAAAAAGCCTAATTAGGACTTTAAAACTCCTACGTAGGACTTTATAACTCCTACGTAGAATACATATCAAAGAACTGAAAGCACAGAGTTCGACGGACATGTATGCTAGAGTATAACTTAAGATAGCATATTATGTAGGAAAATAAATTATATGAGCCGCGCCATGACAAAACCAACATAGTGCATTTGCGACCAGCATGGATCCAGACCAGCCTGCGCATCCGCGCAGTCTGATCAGGATCCATGCTGTTCGCTTACAAACCCTATTACAAGTAGAGAAACTGATAGCGAATAGCATGGATCCTGATCAGACTGCGCGGATGCGCAGGCTGGTCTGGATCCATGCTGGTCGCAAACCCACTATGTTGGTTTTCTCATGGCGCGGCTCATATGTGTCAAGTTGTAATTGTGGCAAGCCACTTTAGTAAATACCTTTAGTCTGTAGCCAGAGATGATTTTGTCATTCTCTGCATATATTAAACGATGATTCCGTATTATGTACGTTTAGTTATATTTATTATACACATGTACACAAAATGTATGGGTTAAACTTTGTTCAAAGGAGGATATACAATGTAATTCATTATTAAACATATGCATGCATGATGCTCCGTAAACCGTTATCTTCTTAAACTTTACTGAGCAGGAACAATACACTTCACTACCCCCCCCCCTGTCCCCTATAAGGATTTAATCATTTGAAACGGCCGAAAATGGATAAATTGCTCGTTTTCTTCAGCTAGTTCGTATTGAAATCGTAATCATTAAAGCCTTTTAAAATTTTGATATATATGCTTGATGTCGAGTAAGTTTTTTTCGAATAGCTGTAACGCAATTTTACGGGATACATCGCCAATGCTTACAGACACCTCACCCTAAAACACTGTACACTCTAGAAACCTGAGACACTTTATTGAAAAGGTGAAGTGTTGCGGTATGGCCGTGTGACTAGTAGCTTAATGATCGCTAGCCGCATGGGTTCAAACCCCGTTAGGCGCAAGCCGTTGTTTCCTTGAGCAAGAAACTTTACACTCATTGCTAAGTACGTACTGGTTGGTTCCAGGAACGGATTCGAAAGTGTGTCTATAAGCTTATAGCTTCCTACACAACCAAACTTAAATAAATTCTGTATGAACCAAAGGTGAAATGTCCTCTATATTTAAGATTTGAGGGGGGGGGTAAGTGTCTTGTTCCTTCGCCGATATACCGGTCCGGAATGTTGAGATTTGCAAAGCATTCTGTATGCATTTCTTATAAAGTCATAAAGTCCTACGTAGGACTTATAAACTCCTAATTAGGCTTTTTTATCTCCTACGTAGGAGTTTTAAAGTCCTACGTAGGAGTTATAAAGTCCTACGTAGGAGTTTAAAAGTCCTACGTAGGAGTTTAAAAGTCCTACGTAGGAGTTATAAACTCCTAATTAGGCTTTTTTATCTCCTACGTAGGAGTTATAAAGTCCTACGTAGGAGTTAAAAAGTCCTACGTAGGAGTTAAAAAGTCCTACGTAGGAGTTTAAAAGTCCTACGTAGGAGTTATAAACTCCTAATTAGGCTTTTTTATCTCCTACGTAGGAGTTATAAAGTCCTACGTAGGAGTTATAAAGTCCTACGTAGGAGTTTAAAAGTCCTACGTAGGAGTTATAAACTCCTAATTAGGCTTTTTTATCTCCTACGTAGGAGTTATAAAGTCCTACGTAGGAGTTAAAAAGTCCTACGTAGGAGTTAAAAAGTCCTACGTAGGAGTTTAAAAGTCCTACGTAGGAGTTATAAACTCCTAATTAGGCTTTTTTATCTCCTACGTAGGAGTTATAAAGTCCTACGTAGGAGTTATAAAGTCCTACGTAGGAGTTATAAAGTCCTACGTAGGAGTTTAAAAGTCCTACGTAGGAGTTACAAACTCCTAATTAGGCTATTTTATCTCCTACGTAGGAGTTTATTTTTTTGTAGAACATTATGAATTGGCACCAGGACGCTTCCGTAGTATGCATTAAAAAGACTTAGTCAACAAAAAGAATTACTGTGGATGAATTTTAATTACGAAAAGCTTTTAGTTGTGAACGTTGTCCAGATCTTATTTAAGATAATATATATATAAATATCATTTTTGTACATGCATTTCCTATCACCCTAATACATGTATAATAGATAATATTCACGACAACGGGACAATGCAGCTGCTTTAAGAAATTATGAATATCTAATGTATGTGGATAACATACCAGCAAAGGATTGTTGCCACAAGAGTTCCTATAACCATAGAAACCACCATCAACCAAACGATAAACCATGCCACAAACTGAAGCAGGAGAGCTAAAACTACTGACACCACTGCCAACATGAAAAGAAAATATTGCTGCTGTTTTATGTTTATTGTGTACACGAACCTGAAAACTGTTTTTATTTTCAATTCATAAACATTAAAAAAAGTGATTCTCAGTTAGTGGATTGAATACATTTCAACTGTTCTTATAGTTTCTCTTATTCAATATTAAGGCAACCTGGTTTTGCAAGCAGCATATTTTAATATAATAATAATATGGAAAACAGTGAAATGTGACCAATGTTCGAAGATGTTACACATTCAATAAGTAAAAACCATTTCATACAATATGAGATTGACATGAATGATCCATATGATACAGTTATAAACGCCACAAAATATGAATACATAGTTTTTCAAGACCCACGATCGTATCGAAGAAAGAAACAAAATATCTTCACTTTTGGCCGTCCATTATGTGTGCAAATTGAAATTTAAAAATTATTTTACACAAGAGCACCGCTAAACGGAGCATTATATGCCCGAAAGTGATTTTTTTTATTAAAGATGAAGCATTTGTAAGACATGGTAATTTAATAAAGTATTACCTCCTTCAAATAACAATCCTCCTATGAAGTTTGAACACTGTGGGCCAAATGGAACTTAAGTTATGCCCCGGAAACTGTTTTCAGTTTTAAGGTAATAGTGACCTTGACCTTTGACCTTGTGTCCCCAAAATCAATAGGGGTCTTCTACCCAATATGGACAATCATACTATGAAATTTGAACACTGTGGGTCAAATGGTATTTAAGTTATGTTCCGGAAACTGTTTTCAGTTTTAAGGTAATAGTCACCTTGACCTTTGACCTTGTGGCCCCAAAACCAAATAGGAGTCTTTCACCCAATATGGACAATCAACCTATGTAGTTTAAATATTGTGGGCCAAATGGAACTGAAGTTGTGCTCCAGAAACTGTTTTCAATTTCTAAGTAATGGTGACCTTGACCTTTGACCTTGTGACCCCAAAATCAATATGGGTCTTATACCCAATATTGACAATCATCCTATGAAGTTTGAACACTGTGGGCCAAATGTAACTTAAGTTATGCTCCGGAAACTGTTTTCAGTTTTAAGGTAATAGTGACTCTGACCTTTGACCGTGTGACCCCAAAATCAATAGCGATCTTCTACCCAATATGGACAATCATCCTATGAAATTTGAATACTGTGGGCCAAATGGAACTTAAGTTATGCTCCGGAAACTGTTTTCAGGTAATAGTGACCTTGACCTTTGGCCTTGTGACCCAAAATCAATAGGGGTCTTCTACCCAATATGGACAATCATCCTATGAAGTTTGAATATTGTGGGCCAAATGAAAGTTAAGTTATGCTCCGGAAACTGTTTTCAGTTTTAATGTAAAAGTGACCTTGACCTTTGACCTTGTGACCCCAAAATCAATACGGGTCTTCTACCTAATTTGGACAATCATCCTATGAAGTTTGAATATTCTGGGCCAAATGGAACTTAAGTTATGCTCCGGAAACCAAATCGCAATGGACGGACAGAAAGACGGAAGGACGGACGTTCTAAAAGGAGAGTAATTATGTGGCTACTCTATTGTTCTCTCTATTGTTCTTTTTAGCCACACAAAAGAAAATAGCCACATAAAAGCATTACGGAATGAATGACATCAAAGAGAAAGAACAGTTACCTATTGTCCCTCTAGCCACATAATTACTCTCCTGTGAGTGCGGACAGACGGAAGTGCGTACGTTCCAACATTTTGGGTTTAGGGGCTATTTTCTTTGCTATTTTCTTTGTTTTCTTAAGGGCTACTAGCCCATAAACCCTTTGATCACGGAATGAACCTATTGTTCTCTTTTGTTCTCTTTACTGTTATATAGCCCCTAAACCCAAAATGTTTGCTCGGACGGACGGACGGACGCCAGTGGGTATAACATAATATGACCGAAATTCTTTCGGGCATATAATAAAAGGCAATAATATTATGATAACATATAAGATCAAAACCCGATCCGAAAAGTTTATATCATATCCTTATTGTACTGGCAGTTAAAAAGTTCTATCAAATGTAAAAATATTGGTAGTGTGAAATAGGAGGTCATTATACAAGGATGAACACAATACTGTTTATATTGGACATCGTACACAGCTAAGCTCGGCTGATGCCTCGTCCAATATACGTCTGACAGCTGTGTACTCGTCCAATAGAATTTAGTATTGTACTTAAAAATGTATACTAACCTCATGCTATTGTTGAATATTGATACTGTATAGCATATAAAAACTAGCAGTGTTAAAGATAAGTTTCATACCGACAGCCAGTGCACAAAGGAGACTCATTTCAAACCATGTATTCTGAATGTCGCTTGCTCCTTTCTGAAATAAAGTTATCATTATAGTGATGAATGTTCTAAAATCATCATATACCTTTTAAAAATGTATATTACACGCCCTATATACAACAGCTGTCTCTTCAATGATTTCATGAAGTCAGTTGTAAGTTTTTACTATGCTATTTTAATTAGCTCCTTTTTGTTTTTCGTTTCTTTAAAACATGAGTGAGAACGACAGGTCAGTGGCCATACTGATACAAAATAAAATGTCAGTAACAAAGAAAATGTCTTATTTTGTTCATGTAAAGCAAAACGTTAACATTGTACAAAGCTAATTACTCGTAAATGTTATGGCGCCAGTATGGAACCTTACAATCTCGTAATTCCATACGGTCTTACAAGACACCAATGGGTCAGCTTTTGAAATGTTGGCTCAAATGTGACATTGACATTGTGTAAAGATAAAAGTGTTTAGATACCTCGACAAGATTTTCTTCTATGACATTAAGAAGACTGTTAATGGCGGAGGTAACATGGTCAATTCTTTTTGTAACGGACGCAGGAATACATCGGTATAAAAACTCTTCTCTGTAATGAAAAATTTATGAAACTACATTTCTAATAAAATCCATAAATGCAAGAAATTAAAACGATTTCACAAAATTGTTTAATCATACTCTCCTATAAAGATATATGAATATACATATCTGAAAAGTTATTTTCATTCATGGATTAAAGGCCCAATGCTAAAATTTTCATCGTATGATTAACCCATTACTTCATGAGCATTTTGTGAAAAATGGCTGTTTTCATTGAAAAGTCTCCCGCTACAAGTTCAAATTGCTATAATACTATAAAAACTGCTTCAATACTAATCAAACTTGGCACAAATGTTGACTGGACCATTGACCTTGAAACAACATGCTCAGGCTTAAATTTTCTGTTACCATGGCAACGAGGGGACATCTCAAAATTGCCAAAAATCACTATTTTGCGTTGATTTTTTCCATCATAATTGATTTCAAAATGCTGCAACTTCTCAATGGATTGAGATAGAGTCAAATGCTTTTCAGCGTTGGTTACACGTTACCTTATGACCAATCTGGGGTTATTTATAGCCTCTCACAAGTCCAAAATTTTCTTGGCGATGAGGGAGACTCCGCCCCCCTTCAAACCCCCCAAACTGAAGGGGGCACATCCCCCTTCTGGCAACCCCCTGATGTATCTTTTGGTTGGGGGGCCGCGCCGAAAAAGTGGTCACTTTTTTTAACAACATTTCTCAAACAAAAACAAGTGTTGGGGGCCTAAATAAGGCATTTTTTCACCATTAGAGACAACAAAAGGGGGGGGGGGTGAAAAAGGCGTTAAAAGGCGTGTGTATGAAGTAATGGGTTAAAATGTAAGGTGAAATTCATTGAAACCCACTTACTGTGGTGTAATTGGTAACGCCGGGCACCCGGATGTACCTGATGATCCGTCAAAGTAAGCGGAGGGTTTAATGTCATACACACATAGCCTAGAATTGTTGATATTTGCTAAGTTTTGCATATCCAAAACAGAGTTGATAGCCGTGGATGGACATTTTGAAACACATATTTTCGTAGATTTGACGTTACCTTGGACCGTGGAAACGACATTGGTAACTATAGAGTCTTCAAAATTGAATAGGTTTCTGGAATAAAAATACATGCTTTGTTCATTGAAATGCAATATACTTTGACACAATGTTCTTTTATTTTCTTAGTTTAGTTTTTTACTATAACTTCATACATGAACACTTCAACTGTGTGTGTTTTTGTGTTTGTTGTTGTTGTTGTTGAAAAGTTATTTCCTTAAGATTACATAACTACGGAAGCACAGAGGGGGCATTCCGATTTTTTTTTCTTTTCCAATCTCGTGGCCACGAGACATAAATAAAAAAAAATGGCCACGAGATAGGGATTTTTCGGGGGTTTTGTTGTTGTTTTTTTCCTTAGTTGAATATCGTGGGAAAAAGATTTTTCCTTTTTTTCTGAATTATATCTCGTAGCCACGAGATAGCATTTTGTTTTTGTTGTTGTTTTTCTTAGTTATATTTCGTGGCCACGAGACAGGACATGAAAAAAATCGGAATGCCCCCTCTGTGCTTCCGTACATAACATCACAACGTCGATTTTTTATCACCAAACTTATAACAATTGATCATCTTACGGTATGCCTCTGAGGTCTATCCCAGTGAGAGTTGGTATAACACCGTCAATAATCTTGTTGTCCTGGTTACAAATATTCCCGTAACTATCTATACCATACACTAGTCTGTACGGGTTACCAATAGTGACAGCTCTCCACGACACCAAACCCTATATATCATATGATTAATTAAAAAAAAAAGAGTATCAAAGTCTATTGAAGCGGTAGGTATGTTGACTTTTTAATTAAAATAGTTTCGTATTTAAAATATTATTATGCAAAAGATTGATTTATTTACATTTTACATAAAGTATGAGAAGAGATTTTAAAAACTTATTTTGTGTTAATATTAACATGTTTTATATATACTCTGTATCTATATTGATATAGTTCAATGTACCTTAAGACAAATCTCATATCTTACAATGGTCGGTCGAAATGTCCATACAAAACATGGCCTTATCTTAATAACACTACCATAATAATGTTTTTATTAATTAAATGGAGACGAAAACTTTACAATTAAATATTCGCAGAACTTTAACGGAGAGTACAACTTATAGAAGACATGTTATACCATTCCAATAGTAAACACGGAGAAGAGACACAAGAAGACAACATCTCTGCATTCTCGTCTGGTTTCTGGACCTTCACTTAGTGCATCATCAGTTTTATTATCATCATCACGTATAGATACTTTGGATTTTGTCTAAATAATTTAATCAACACATTTTGAAATATGTTTTACAGTTTGTATACATGTATTTATATATCACTTCTGGCATTTTCAGACACAAATCCAGATTTGTTTTGGTTGGGGTGCTTTAGTTTCAAATAACCGATCTCCCGACCTCCCTACGGGCGCGTTAAATTTTCTTTCAAATTCTTAAATTTGTAAATGCATCAGGAGCCTCTATTCAATATTCAGAGAAAGAATACATTTAACTCCTTGCGTGTGTTAAACAGTGTTAAAGTCTGAAACTTTCTGTGAAAATATAGAAACACGAATTATAAAGTTTTGTGCGAGACCTCCGGTATCGCGTATTTTTTAAAGATCAACTTAACTAATAAAAAATATTCAGACTTTTTA